CCTCTTTTGTGAGCCTCTTCGAAGATTCCTTCATGTGGAGCTTCGATTGTCTCATTCTTGGTGTGTCCTGCCATATTTTGAGGAATTGCTTCTGCAGCTACCCCTCTATGGAGGACATTTCCAGACTGTTTGGTATTCCCAAGATTGATTCCGACCGGGGTCCATCCTGAACCGATCTTGGTTAGTCTGTCTGCCTCTTATTCGTTTCCGGATATCCCCGAGTGTCCCGGGACCTACATGAGGCTGACTTTTCTTGATTTTGCCAGGTTTTCCAAGGCCTTTCTGCACTCGGACACCAATTTGGTTGCGATCCTACGCTCGAATGTTTTCGATATGTCTAACGCTACAGATTGTTGGGTATTCTGTGGCCACAGCAAGAGATTCCCCATGTTCATCTAATGAAGCTTGCCATCTATGGGTGACGTAGACGAGTAGATCTCCATCAGTTGGTCTTCGGTGGCGAGAACCATATTATTGTCTATCAATGATGATTCCTGAGTTGTCCAGATACCTACCTATTTAATAAGCTCAATGTTGATGCCTTTCTGTTTCACTTTGGATACTGGATTACTGATAACAGGGCAATAGGCCTGTAGTTGTTAGGCAGGTTTTTGTTCACTTTTTTGGGGATCGGTTGGATTCTAGTTATCTTCCAGCATGATGGAATAATGCCCGACTTTTACGAGATGGTGAATAACTTGCAGAGAATCCGTGTCAATTATGGTGCACATTCTTTGAGGATAATGGGTGAAATTCCAACCCACAGTTTACAATATCTGGCGAAAGCCATATTATTGTCTACCATTGATGATTCCTGAGCTTTTCACATACCTATTTGATAAGCTCAATGTTGATGCCTTTCTCTTTCACTTTGGATACTGAATTACTGATAACAGGGCAATAGGCCCGATGTTGTAGTTGTTGGGCAGGTTTTTGTTTCCTTTTTTTGGGGATCGGTTGGATTCTAGCTATGTTCCAGCATGATGGAATAATGCCCCACTTTTACGAGATGGTAAATAACTTGCAGAGAATCGCTGTCAATTATGTTGCACATTCTTTGAGGAATATGAGTGGAATTCCAACCCACAGTTTACAATATCAAAAAGTCGAAAGAATAAACAATTTTTATCGAAGATACTTAAAAGTAGTTGAAAATGTATGTTTTTCATCTGACTTTAACCCGATCTCGCTAGCTTATTCCGTTCAAAAGATTTAAGGGGGGAGAGGACTTTTTATGTTCCCACTGTATATGAAATACAGGGTGTCCCAACGAAAACTTTCCACACGGATTTACTGGGAAATGACAAATTATTTTCGGAAACGCTGAAACACGTCGATTTTGATTTCTAGGGGGACACATGTCAGTGATGAATTTAGTCACGCAACTTCATCCCCCTGACAGGGGCGGCTACCCCATTGCGAATCATCATAGGGAACTTGGGTCGAGTGATACATCATCTTCAAGCTCTCGTCATTCTCTATCCAAACGTTTATATTTTTTCAAAATCGAATGACTGGTAATTGAGATTAGTGTGGTAATAGGTTTATTTTCAATAATCAATATCGTACCTGTTCTTATCAAAATTCAATTTATTAATTGCTCGAAATGAGCCCCTCCTACCTCCATACAATGATAAAGTCTACTTTCGAAACTATTACGAACGTTTGCCAATACTTCTGGAGTTATTCTGCCGCACTCGTTTACAATTCGACCACGTAGTTCCTCTAGTGACTCTGGCGGAGTGGCAAAAACTTTGCTTTTGAGATGCCCCCATAAAAAATAATCCAACGGGTTGAGGTCCGGTGATCTAGCTGGCCACTCAATTGGTCCTCGTCGCCCTATCCAATGATTGGTATATCGTTCATCCAGAAAGTTTCTAACCGCCACTGCATAGTGAGGTGGTGCTCCATCTTGTTGAAAATGGAGGTTGTCTTCCGAATAATCTCCATCGTTTTCGATAATATCCGTTATCATGGGATCGATGGCATTCTCAAGAAGATGTAAATACATTTGTCCATTCAAATTGTCATCTATAAAAAGTGGTCCAATAATATTTTTGCCAAAAATACCACACCAAACATTCAACTTCTGCGGAGTTTGAGTGTGGACCTCACGTATTAACCTGGGATTGGTATCGCTCCAGTAGCGGCAATTGTGACGATTCACGTTTCCATTAACAAAAAATGTACTCTCGTCTGAAAAACAAATATTGAAGAGCAAATTGGGATTTGTTCTCAGACGCTCAGACATTTCCTCACAAAACTGTTGACGTCTGTCAAAATCGTCTTCGTTCAGTTCATGTACAAGTTTTAGTTTGTATGGATGGAATCGATGTGACTTGAGAATTCTCTGAATACTCGATCGCGCTACACCTGACGCGTCAGCCAAGCTTCTAATACTTTGAGTAGGATCCATAGCCACGTGCCCCAAAACCGCTATCTCCACAGCCTCGTTCCTTATCAGACGTTCAGGATGATGTTTCTGGTTTCCCACAGACCCAGTTCTTTCGAATTTCTCAATCAACGTTTGAACATAGGTATGAGATGCATTTTTCCCTGGATGCCTTGTATTGAAAATTCTAGCTGCAGCTCTTAGACAATCATCATTTTTGTAGTAAAGTTTCACTAACTCAATTCGTTCTTCTAATGCGTAAACCATTGTCAGGCAGAAACTTAACTCACAGAATACGAATCAAATGATATTTCCAGAAGAATCATGCGAACTGTGAATTCATGCTGAGAACATACACGCAGGAGAACCATAAAAAACAGGTATTTTTTGTCTATGAAAAAGTCAACAGAACAAAAACTAAGAAATATGGTTTCCGGGCTTCAGTGCCGTGGTCGGTTCACCTCTGTGGAGGAGGTTCCTTTGGACGGTTCGCTCACAATTGGGGTGGGCATCTTCCGCTTGTAATGTTGTATTCGCGAATAGCGACATAAAACTGATACTTGGTTGAAAGATCTTCGCAATTAATAGTCCCAACCTGGCTACTTACTTTGTTTTGACTAATTTGTTTTCGTTTTTCGTGGGGTGACTGGATAACCTGACCGGATGGGAAGTTGCTATTGTCTATCTGTCCACTCATTGAGTCTTAAAATAGTTAATAAATTGAATTTGAATAGGAACAGGTAAGATATTGACTATTCACATTGAACCTGTCAACAACACTAATTTCAATTACCATTCATTCTATTTTGAAAAAATTATGGACGTTTGGATAGAGAATGACGAGAGCTTGAAGATGATGTATCACTCGACCCAAGTTCCCTATGATGATTCGCAATGGGGTAGCCGCCCCTGTCAGGGGGATGAAGTTGCGTGACTAAATTCATCACTGACATGTGTCCCCCTAGAAATCAAAATCGACGTGTTTCAGCGTTTCCGAAAATAATTTGTCATTTCCCAGTAAATCCGGGTGGAAAGTTTTCGTTGGGACACCCTGTATATGTTAATCGGTTTGTTGTTTTCTTATGATCTGAATAGTCTTAATTACTAAACTGAAAATATTATCTAAAACATGAAATTAATCAAATGTTATCAGGAGTACTTTTTTTTTAGTGAATGAATTAAGCGACTTCATGCACTAAAACCTCAACTTAAAGCCCTTTCTCTCCCATCGTCAAAGTTTTAGATTAATCTACTGAGAAAATCAATATAATTTCATAAAATTTTAATAAGATACCATTAACAATTTCAAAGATTCAAAACAAAAATTGTAACTTCAGACCTTCAGAGCCGTCTAGCGTCCAAACTAAGCAACTTTGTACTAAGTGAAATGTTTAAATAAAATTCTATATTGGTCTGAGCAATATGTGGTAGGTGTTTGTGCAGATCCTTTCGGGACACTCTGTATTTTTTTCTTTTAAGGACAACCAAAATTATGTTCTCTATAGATTGCATTTTTTCTTATTCGAACGATATTGTATATCATAGAGATGCCCATCAATTATAGAAACCCGTAATAGTGTTGAGAGATCGAAACAAAAATCGAGGAAAATATTCTGTTGTAGGTACTTGAAAAAATTCGATTAGAACAGGATTATTTCAGTAAAATATTCAAATGGCATTTGCGACACATTCATTATTCTCACTTCAATAAGAACGTTTCCTTCCTGGAGTTGAAGAGTTTCCATGAATAATGTATTACGAAAATGACACTTTTCCAGGACAGAAATAATGATGTATTATTGCTTCATGACCAGCAAATAAAATACCAACTATATCATGAAATACAGTGTGACCAAAATAAGGGTGCACAGAATGGGGATGTCGGTAGGAGATATGAAATCATTATTTATAGTTTTTCAGTTATACGAAACGGGTAAATTTTTGGAAAATCTATTTTTTTCTACGTTATTATTGGAGTAACAGGAAAACTGAAAATACTTTTACATAATGAGAGTTAACTTGGTGATATTGATTTCTCTATGCGACGTTTCGCATTCGTAGAATCACCACCACTAATTTTTTTGAAGACACGGTCCTGATTATGTTCACAGATTCTGAAAGCTTTTTTCATTCTGAATACAACCATGTACAGTCAGATGCAATGAACATGTCGCATATGGGCGGTGATGACACCTGTAGTCACTGCTGCAATAAGAGCTCTAACTTCATCCAACCGCGACATTTTCTTTGCATCTGACTGTACTATACAAAGTGACTTGAATGTGTTTCGACCAAGTTCTAACCACCATCGATGTTTTTTCGGAGTTCATGTAATCATCATGTAGTCACAATAAAATCATACAGGAAATCTCATGTAATCATCATGTAATCACCATGACATCATGTGAAATATCATAAAATCATCATGTAATCAACATGAAATCAATGAAATCATCATGGAATCCTATGAAATCACGATTTTTGTGTCATAGCCATAGAAAAATACTATACCAACTGAAATTATCGATTCATTATTATTATAAAGTTATATTTTCAATAATGTAGAAACCATAGCAAATTTTCAATATAGGTAATTGTATTGTTTCAGGTGAAGACCTCATTTACAGGGACGCCGAAGGTCATGTTGTTCTCTTTGATATCAAAAACAATTCCACAAAAATCCTGATAAATTCGTCAGACAATGTAGGTAATCTGTATTTATTAATCTCTTTATAATTTTATTATCGGAGATTTACGAGACCAATGAAATCTAGTACTTTTTTACAGATATTGCTGTCAGCTTTTGAATTTCAATTGTCTGCTGATGGATTATTTTTGATTGTGGCTTACAATTATCAAAAGGTGAGAATACGTTTTATTGATCCTAAGATCCATCTTGATTTAATCTACCCATTAATAAGCATCCCAAGCTATCACTATCACAATAATCCTTATTCAAATCTATGATTATATTTGATAAAAACAATGAAGAGAAAATAGGTAGATAACAGCAGGAGAAATAAAATGAAAATTATAATATCCATCATCCTATTCCCTATTGGTTATAGTGGTTACAAAAAAGAGTACGTATACCTATTATTATACCTGAGATTATACCTGCAGATAGACTACAAATTGATGGTCTCTAATCAATGTGCCTATATTGTTTTCATCTATCACACTTTTACATATTGTGTTCATACTTAGTAAAAAGTATAGAAAAGTATACCTACAGTGTGTCCCGCTTTTCATGAATACACCCTGATATCTCAGTTATTATTGAAATTTTAGTGGTGATTGTATGTTAGAACAATGAAATATTTAGTATAGTGAACAGTTTCATTAACCATTGGCGTGCAATGTTGAGGGAAACAAAAAAGGCCATTATTCCGAGAAAGGATATTAGGGCTTATTTTAAATAGCTGTTTTTATCAGATTCAGAATCCGCATCCCCAAAAACCCCCTAATTCATATTTTCAAAATCTCTAGAGAAATTCAAAATCCCGGTATTCATGACTACGCCCCAAAATCTCAGTTGTTAATTATGCGATTTTTTAGAAACTGTGATCGATGGTGATTGTATTTTATTTTTTCTGTGACGGGAAAAAAATTTGGCATTTCATCTCTGTTGGCAGGTTATAAAATGTCACTTTTTTCTGTGACGGGAAAAAAGTTTGGCATTTCATCTCTGTTGGCAGGTTATAAAATGTCACTTTTCATAAATTACTTTTTTCCCGTGGGAAAAAAGTGAGTACTTTTTTCCCGGATATATATCACATATATATACACTGTTGATGGCTTTTGTTGTGCTATAGTTCCGAAAAATGAGTCAATAATACCGTCTCCGAGAAAGAACTGCAAGTCCTTTTTTCTTCCATTCGACTTCGCGGTTTCGTATATTACTAAACAACTACTGAATTCGCAATTTTTTAAAATCAAATCACAGAATTAAACTGACAGAAGTGACATCAGATATTTGATTACTTCGAAAGAATAATAAAGATGTCTATAAAACGCAGGTGTCCTTACTGTTAAAAACTTGAAATTTCACGTCGATAATTTTCAGATTTCTAAATAATGTAATATCTTCTCAATATTGATTCGTCCTTCCTTCTGTCACAGAAAAAAATAGTGTATTATACACGGGAAAAATATTAGATTTTAGCTCACGGTTTTTTGTCTCCCTCCGCTACGCGTCGGGAGACAACACAACCTGGAGCTAAAATCTACTACTTTTTTCCCTTGTATAATAAATAACTATTTATAAAATACATTTTTCCCGTGGGAAAAAGTGTGTACTTTTTTCCCAGATATATATCATATATACACTGTTGATGGCTTTTGTTGTGCTATAGTTCCGAAAAATGAGTCAATAATACCGCCTCCGAGAAAGAACTACAAGTATCTTCCATTCGACTTCGCGGTTACGTATATTACTAAACAACCACTAAATTCGCAATTTTTTGAAATCAAATCACAGAATTAGAATGACAGAAGTGACATCAGATTATTGATTACTTCGAAATAATGATAAAGATTCATACAACGCAGGTGTCCCTACTGTTAAAAACTTAAAACTTCACGTCGATATTTTTCAGATTTCAAAATAATGTAATATCTTCTCAATATTGATTCGTCCTTTCTTTTGTCACAGAAAAAAATAGTGTATTATACACGGGAAAAATATTGGATTTTGGATTGGATCACGGTTTGTTGTCACACAACCTGGAGCTAAAATCTACTACTTTTTTCCCTTGCATAATAAATAACTATTTTTCTGGAAATGTTATGAAACCCATTTTGTGCAGATTTTTTGTTGAAAACTACATCATTTTTTGGTCACCCAATGTCAGTTTCAATTTTGATTACCAATTTCATCAGAATTCTATGGAACGTTGCATAGCAACAAACTTTTCCTGCCTAGGCAGTAAAAGTACACCTTTAATGCCTGTTAAAATGCCTGTTAAGTGTCAGAGAAAAACCACTTTTAATGCCGCTCGGAGAAAACTGGAGCTAAAATCAACTACTTTTTTCCCTTGTATAATAAAGAACTATTTTTTCATTAATCCATTGTTTTCTTCATTTCAGCTATATCGACACAGCTATCTTGCACAATATGCCATAATAGATTTAAGCACAGGCGAAAAGACCGACCTCATATCGGGCAACCAGCCTGCCCAACTGGTTGTTTGGGCACCGATCGGAAATGCCTTAGTTTTCATAGCAGAAAACAATATTTTTTACAGAAGGTCGGTCAAAGACGAAAATGCCATTGCCATCACAAACACGGTCGGTTATGTTTCTAATGGAGTGCCTGACTGGGTGAATGAAGGTATACTAACAAGCATGGTAATTTTTTAGATAATCATAGCTGAATAGATAGATGTGGTAATTCCAATAAAATGATGTCATACCATAGAACGCCGGTTATTAAAATATATACCTCCAGTGGCTTCAGTCAGCAAATGTTGATTCATTTTTGTTCGTCTTGGTCTAGTCTATTATGATGAATCAAAGCTAACTGAATAAATCCTTACTCATAGGAAAGGAATATAACCAAATGAGAAAAGTAAAGGAATCCGCTTGCATTCTTCTGAACGGAGACAATAGCATTGCTTCCTGTTCAGTTGATATGGATAGAACATTGTATTCACTACTGAAAACTGAACATGAAAGATTCAAGATCAATTAATGAAAGATCTAGTTTTGAAATGTGTCAAAGTACATGTCAAAATTAGTTCGTTCTTGTTAAGTATTATTTTGATCGAATAGATATGAGGAATACCTACTGTCTGTAGGTTTATCGAGGAGGTGGAACATTAATTTGTCCAGATTTCTTGGATTTTTTATCCTCGTTTCTATAAAATGAAAACAAGAGTATTTTCTCAATATAATTTGTGAAGACAAATTCGATAAATAACCCCAAAAAGTCACTGCGTTTGAAAATTTTAGTATTAGAGCCTAAAAGAAAAATGCAATCGATTGTCAGTGACGCCTGGTTTTGAGAAATTTTTGAAGATAGATATAGGATCGAAAAAATAGCAACTTAATACTTATCTTTAGACGTTTTGGGAACGAATCTGCCCCCGTTTTCATCAATAAAAATGAAATATAATATTCTTGACAAAACAAATCCGAAGACCATTTGTCAACAAAAAAAGTTGTTGGCCCTTTTACGCCTTCGTGAAAGAGGTTTGAAAGAACTTGGAATAATAATGCTTATGCTAGATGTTGATGACTCAGTTATTCAACATCCAATTCAAATAGCAAATACTGTATACATACAGGGTGGCATTGAAATAAGTGCAAATATTTCAAACCTTGAGAAAGCTCGACTTATACTATCGAAAAAAAATATCGGGAGCAAAATAAAATTTGGGGTAAGACCCCTTTATCCATCCAAAGTTCTACATTGTAGCAATTCTGACTTCACCTCTGATTAAATTGTTTCAACGTGGCGTACGTACTTGATTTTTTTCTCGTTTTTTGTTCAATTTTCGGGATGAGATTTCTCGTTATTTAGAAGACTCAGAAAAAATCTGATATCATGGGAATATTCGTTAGACTGTTTCATATCGATGAGCTGGATATATGTACTCATTTCAAAAACACCTTGTATAAATAATCATATTTTTTTAGAGGAAGTTTTTAGTTCTAATAGTGCACTCTGGTTCTCTCCCGATGGAAAAAGATTAGCCTATGGAAGGTTCAACGATACAAGCGTACCACTGATGATAATACCGGTATATGGAGAACCAGGAAAACTAACATCACAATACCCCAGAGCCAATGTCATCAAATATCCAAAGGTTGATCAAATTAAAATAATTTCTGATATAGATTCACGAACAATAACAACATACGACGATGAAAAGAGAAGTTTCAATACTATAAGTATACAAGGTGTCCCAGCATCAACGTACCATAAATTCTACAGGGTGAACTAGAGGCCAAAATAACCCCATTGAAATCAACGAACCTTTATAAGAAAATGCACAGTGGTCAATAACTCAGTACAAATGAGGTTGAATCTAGCAAAACGCAAAACATGATATCCCTGACATAATAAACGAGTTTGGAGACGCACTAAAATGGATTTTTTTTTATCGCGGCGAATGGCTCTTCTCTGGATGGAATCTAAGAGCATCAGCGTATGTTTTGGTGCTGAACCCCATATATGTGGGAACAGTATTCTAGAACAGGCCGTATCTGCGCTTTGTAGATCATGAGAAGCTGTTGAGGTGTAAAGTAGCTTTTCGCACGGAACAAGAATCCGAGTTTTTGTGAAGCAGCTTTTGCGATGGATCTGACATGATTATCCCATGAAAGAGTGTTGCTGATGGAAATACCGAGCATAGATATGATGGGCTTGGTGGGGATGGTGGAGCCAGACATTACAATATCGGGCATACTGAGTTCCGCCTTTCTAGAGAAAATGAAGGCTTGAGTTTTGGTGGCGTTGAATTCAACTAGGTTGTTTGTTCCCCAGGCTGTGATTTCATCAAGATCTTCATTGACAGCATTGACCTGCCTGCGCCGTGAGTTCTTAGTTTCCTGGGAAGAAATGGGAATTCTGGAAGAGAACGCAGTATGGAGGGTACTATCATCTGCAAAGCTGCGTGGATGGGGCAAGTTGTTACTCCCAACAGATCATTGATATGAAGCAGGAATAATGTTGGTGCCAAAATTGATCCTTGTGGAACGCCGGAATTGATGCCAATGGTATCAGACGATACACCGTCCACCACCACGTGAAGCGATCTGCCTGAAAGAAAACTCGATAAGAGATGGCATAGCTGAGGTGGTAAGCCGTATGATGGTAGTTTGTGGAGGAGTCCTTCGTGCCAAACACGGTCGAATGCTTTCGATATGTCCAACGCGACAGCTAGAGATTCCCCGTGTTTTTCTATTGAAGATTGCCATAAATGGGTGACGTAGGCAAGTAGATCTCCAGTAGATCTTCGGTGGCGAACGCTGTATTGTCTATCATTGATGATTCCTGAGCTCTCCAGATATTTGATAAGCTCAATATTGATGGCTTTCTCCATCACTTTGGAGATTACTGATAACAGGGCAATGGGCCTGTAGTTGTTGGGCAGGTTCTTGTTCCCTTTTTTGGGGATTGGTTGGACTCTAGCTGTCTTCCAGCATGATGAAAAATTCCCGACCTGTACGAGATGGTAAACAACTTGCAGAGAATCGGTGTTAATTCTGGTGCACATTTTTTGAGGATAATGGGTGGAATTCCATCAGGACCGATATCTCGAAACCCAAGAATGATTAACCCCCCCAGTGTCAGTTGATATGATTTATGATTCTGCTCAAAGGAAACATCATTGAGAATCACATCACATTATTGACAAAATTCATACATGTTTTCATGGGATGTAGAATTCTTGGTTATTCTGCTCCTAATATGGATGATAACTGTTAGAAATAATATTTTATTTGTATGAGAATATTATATACCTTTGGTTGAATACGCACAATTTCACATAATATGGATTAAAAGAATAAACAATGATATAGCAGATTTGTTACTTCACTGGTGACGTCGGTATGACAGTAGATTCTGATTCACGGTTCAACGGTGCATTTTCGTATAGAGGTAAGTTGATTTCAATCGGTCTATTTTGGTCTCTAGTCACCCTGTAGAATTCATGAAACGTTATTCTGGGACATCTTGTTATTGTTATCGAATTATGAAATGAATTTTAGGTAGACATTGAAAACATTTATGAAATATAAAGAATCTAATTATTTCCAGTGTGGTACTACAAATCCCACAGTTAGTCTGCATTATGTCAATCTCACCAATCCAACCATTGAGTATAACCTAGAGGCACCAGTACATTTCAGAAGGTAAAATAATTGATTGTCTTATTTTTCATGATTATCTCGTATTTTTATTCATTTTAGTGAAGTCATTTTGTCAGCTGTCGAATGGGCCACCGGTGACGTCATAACAGCAATTTGGATGAACCGGGTGCAAAACCAAGCGTTGATTATGTCTTATGATACATCAACTAACCCTGCCACTTCTACAACGGTTAGTTTCAACAAGTATTTTAATGGTACACTGAGCAAAAATATCTTCATTCATCAGTTGTTCATTTCGCAGAATCATGTCGCTATACCTCATTCCAAATAGGAAGAGTACGTGGTGGCGCTACCTTTGAAAATTTAGCGCCCAATTAAAAATCATGGCCATTTTAATAATTGCGTTCCACTTTTGGTTCGGGTTTGTTCTCAGAAAATATTGTAACATGCAAAATAAGACAAATACATGTATTTGGCTTTTTTCCTAATTAAATTTCTCGTTAATTAGCTCATCTCATCTGAGCTGTAAAGCAGTAAAGCGTTGGCTAAACAGTAAACACCCTGTATTCTCTTGTTATGTAGTACAAAGATGGTTTGATTCAGCAAAATACGCGATCTATTTTACTCTCGGGTCATATGGACCTTGGAATATTATTGAAGGTTTTTTCATTATTACATAATTATGTTAACACCTTTAAATATCCTGCATTGTTTGAAACAGCATCATAAAAGGATGTGCATACATCACGTACTATGCCTTTTGTGGCATACTATCTCCGTTTAACCATTATTTTAGTCAATGCGCATACGTACACTGCCGCCCAAATAAATCGTAACGACTCGTGTCCTGATTTCTTCGAAATATCTGCTCACGGACTATTATATCTATCTTTATCACACAGCATGACCGCGACGGTAGGTAGTTTCCTATACCTAAATCCTCTTATTATCTATCTTCATGGTATGGTGTGAAAAAGCAGGTAGAATGAGTAGTTAAAGTTCATTCCATAATTTGGTTCAATATAATTTGTTTTGAAATATGGAAGCTTGTGACATAAAAGTTCATATATACATGAAGTATCAATATTGTCAGAGTTTTGGATTCTGGATATTCATTCCTCTGGAAATGTAGGAAGCTAAAACAATAATTATCGTTAATGAAACTATTTTGTCAGATTAAATGAATAAAATTCAATGATGTGGTTCGTAGAGTGCATTCTTGAAAGATTCGATGCACGTCATCTGCTGATTTTATTTCCAACAAAATCTGCACGGTGTTACATATACAGTATGATGCAAATGTATGGAATAAATTCATTATTTCAGAAATGGGCGACATTTGAAGAAATTCCAAACACACGTGAGTTTCAATTTTTGAAACCTCATCTCATGACATTCATATGAGAGATGTTACGTCACCGGTGTTGGAGTAATGACGAAATGGACGGTTTTTTTAAATACAAACAAGGGTCATGTGACACCTCGTTTGAAAGGTATACTGATCGTCTATCCAATAGTCAACATTTTGCAAAATAAGATTGAAATTAAAATGGATTATCATTTGGTTAACTGAATCTTGCAGAGATCTTCTACTGAGAATTGAACATCGAAGGGTCGTCTAGTTGAAAAAATACATCGATAAAAAAGTTCCGAACTCTACTTTTTGGATTTTTTTCGGAAGTCGTCTTGTTTTGAAATGAATTTATTCCATACATTTGCATCATACGTATATAACATTGTCACAAAATTCAAGCATACATTTCTCGCAAGCAAATAAAAAGAAGTTTCGTATTTTTTTGAGATACAGGGTGTGGCAAGTTTGGTATATATTGTTGTTATTAATTCATAGGTACCTACGTAGTACATAGGTACCAGGTGGCCCATTCAAGACGATCCACCCTGAATAACGTTGGAAGGCATGATCGAATGATAAATTGCTTAGTAACGTCAACTTCAATTTCTAAGGAGACATAATTCAAGATTTGGAAAATGTAGACGTAACCTACCGGAGTGCTCCTATTGGCAATAAAAGCGAAAATCTGACTTTGAGCGTCGATATCTCAAAAACTATCTGTCTTACGGTGCTGATTATGGTCTCATTCGATTCAGCGTGTCATTTTCTACTGAAAAAGCAATAATTCGCGTGAATTTCCGCCGTTTTCTGGCACTTTCGGCCGTCCGAAGATGGCTCGGTGACTATATCGTACTGAAGTCTTAGGTGGGAAAATGAAAATTTTTATTTGCTTCCTCCTCCCCTTGAGAACCACCCTTTCAAGAATTTCAAATGGGAATATGGGTCGAGTGATATATGACAGATCCTAATTATGTCCTCCTAGAACAGGGATGGAAAAACTTTTTCCTCGGCGTGCCAATATTTTTGGCTATTACTGACTTAAAACCTAATAATGCATTGTTTTTTGTTTTGTTGTCTTGCGATATTACAAAATAACTATTGAAATAAGAAATAATTTGCAAATTGCAATTGAACTAAACATTTGAGTTAGCTGGAAAGTAGAAGGAAGGGGAATATATAACATTTGACATGTGTAACTGCTTTTGTTTCTGCATTATTTCATCATAAGCCGGCTCCATTTGTGATGCTGAAATTTTCAGCAGTTAAAGAAGGTGGCCATCCGAAAGCCTATTGCGAAGACAATTTTTCTCAGTTTCATTATTGAAAACCATTTTTTTATCGCTTGGTGCGCACGAAAAGATATCCCTACAATGATCGAAGAACATCTTGCGTACCTAGGAAGGATACGGAAATGAGGTAGGTGTTGCAATTTTTTTTTCAACATTATTTTTTGGGCGTGGGCAACTATATTTGGGTATTGTGACCTAGATATGGACTTAAAAAATTCTAATTTGCTGGAATTCAGTAATAGTTGCCTCAAATCAATTAGTTTCAAGTTGGAGTTTACCGGTTATTACATCGACGTTGACATAAAAAGGCACCGAAAAAATATTAAGTGACGGCTCAATTCCCTTAAAATGTTGAAATGTCTTCTCGAATTCCTCGTCCAGTTTTTTCAGTTTTTGAGCAAACCTATGCAATGTATCGTCTGAGACAGGTGAAATACTGCTCAATTTGGTGAAATATGTCAGTTTATTTTTCTCTCTCTTATGATTTTTGTTTAATGGTCGCGGGCCAAATTTTCCCCATACCTGTCCTAGAAATTGAAGTTGACGTGTCCAATCATTTTTCCTCAGTGTGTCCCCAGTGCACTGGGAGGAGAATAATTAATGCATACGCTGTTTTTTAGATTAAAAATTTGGCTTCCGCTGACGGTTGGTTGGAACTATTCACCCCACCGATATTCTCCAAGGACGGTTCGAAATTCGTCCTGATACTTTCGCAGGACCAAGGCGGCAATTCAGGATACCGGCATTTAGTGATGTTCAACACAGTTGAAAACGCACAGGACCAACCTCTTACCAAAGGAAAATACGTGGTTACGGACATTTTAGCTTGGGACCACGAAAATAATTTGATGTGAGTCTATGACATGCCCTGATTATAATTTTTTCTACGTTCATGCAGAAAACGAACCGTTATTGAACTATTTTTAGCAGAAACAGTGGTTCAAATCGACGTCATGCCATATCCATTCTCTGAGATATTGCATTAGCTTTTATACAATTGCATATTTCATATTCACAATGTTTTCTTGAGATAATTCAGTTATAATCAAGACACATTCGCTTCATTCTAAACCGTCAACACGACGCATAGAGCAAACTTGTCAGCAGAGATTATTCGCGGGAATCAATGTTACCAGGTGGCGCATGGTTTTCATCGTTCCATGTCAAAGCCACGTCGAAACTGGGGGAAAACATACTCAATCCTCACTCAATCCCATTAGTGCCATTAGCTTCTGTACTGCGTACTGATAAAGACTGATAAATTTTACACATTAATTGTCAATATTCGATCGAAAAGGCTAATAATGCCTGTTGTAGATGTTCTTTTGGCAGATATTTTACTATATTTAGTTGGAAAAAGCCGACCAGTAGTGAAATGAGAAGCAGTTCTCCGTGCTAATGATGTGATTTTGTGTGAGGCAGAAGACTTCAACAAAAGGCACATTTTTGCGCTCTGTCTACAACCTTCGGCGATGAAATCTTCCCCACATGAAGTAAGATTGAAGTTGGGGTCCAGAGGAACTCCTGTAGAACAATGGATTTGTATTTGTTCATGCAAAGCAAGACAATCTGGGTATTGTAAACATGTAGTAGCTGTTTTTTTATATGTCAATTGATTAGCTCGTCATAATTAGTTTGAATTGTTTGAACTATCTCCAATTCTTCACCCGTTCACTGTTCACTCAACTAATAAAAATGTAATAATGTAAAAAAATTAACCAACTCAACCATCATCACTACCAACAGTGCCAACACTTTATGTCATTGACAAGTTTGACTACAGCTACAGCAAGCTGAATGTAATGTAGTCTATGCACTTTATCCATAGTTAACAGTTTGTTTTCCCCCAGTTTGAAGTTCGTATTATGTAACCTAGATGTCGCCCAGTTCGTGAATCTCGCGAATAGCGCGGCAAAAATCTGCAAGCTGACTCGCGACATTTTTCGCCACTAGCGTCTAGAGACCGGACGCAACACATAAATCGTCGACACTTGCAAACAGATTCAAGGTTGCAAAACATATATCTCAGCCCAAATCAAGAAGTAGAATTAAAAAATAATTAGTTGAGAAATATAAGTATTCGACTTCCGACCGCCGTGAAAGACAGGCGGCGTCTTCAGACCGGAGTCAGGTTAATGTTTTTGTGAGTGTGAGTTTGAAACGCTGAAAGAGCACAATACCTGACCTGGTATCACTTCGAGTGAGACATCCAGGGTGCTCGAAAAACAAAACCCTTATTATTTACGCCGGTGTCCAGGCCGGATGGGGACGGATTCTCCGTAATAAAAAAAAAATTGTTTTGTTGTCTCATAAGGGCTCTGGCTATATGTCGTAAGAAGAGGGAGAGAGAGATATATGTATTGAAAATTGTACAAATTCTACATTTACTTTTGATGTTAATGGAAAAAATAATGCTTGAGTTCAATAGTTGCTAATATATTAGTCCCTAACTATCCCAATGCAAAATGATAGTACACTGTACTAATTAATTATTGAATATTTTGCTATTTGATTAAGCTTTTAATTTTTCTACACTTAAATCACTTTAATAAAAAATGTTTTGGTTTTTGCACGTACGTAGAAAACATATTGTATGCAATTCGTTGGACAAATTTACGTCGCGTGCAATAAACAATAACTATTTGCACTTGTTGCATAAATAACTATTGTTCATTGTCCGTGCTGTTTTTTTTGTTCACATATATATCCGATTAGAAAACATGCATATTCAAAAACGTACAACAATCTGATTGTTCTTATTATTAGTATGTACGAATATCTATCATAATCTTCAATTATTTTTATTGTAATATTATCGCTGATTTTGTGATATGTTTTTGAATACCCAGAAAAGAATTTCAATTTTCATAGTCCAGCTGCACCACTCCCTGGTAGGTAATATACAGAGAAGTGCACAAAAAACGGCCAGGATTGTTACTTTTGAATAATTATTCTAGATAGGGTTTTGGAAATTGGTGGGTAGCAAGTATACCAAATTGCCCATTAATTGATGAAACAATTTTTCTTGATATGATACCGGGTTTGATAGGGTTGTTTCAAACGATTACAATGATATTTGCGTTCGAAGTCTCCATATGCTCAATGGGTGTGACTTCGCAATATCAAAACTTCTTTCTCTGTCACACTCAATGAGCATATGGAAACTCAAAACGCGAATATCTGCGTAATCATTCGAAATAACCGTATCAAACCCGGTAGCGATGAATTCGTTATGACCATCCCTAACCGAATGTGGAATTTAAAAATCAGAACTTGGGGTCGTTTCCAGTAAAAACGGAAGTGATGGAACATAAGATAAGTTAAAGTCCTGGCAGTTTTTTGTGCACTTCTCTGTATGTTACGACATTCCAATTCGCTAATTTTTTATAGGTGTTTCATTATTTTAACGACTCGAACATACTTGATGGATATTAATAGTAAATGTGAAAAAACTTCACTAGTACAATAAATGTTTTTATGTTTTTACATTTGGGTTGTTTGAGTAAGACAAGTAATTTTTTTTCCAGATATTACTTGGCGAATACAGAATCTGATTCAGCGGTACAGCATCTATACTCAGTCTCCCCGGACACAAAAAACGCAAGCTGCCTAACGTGTTCCTTGAAATCCAAACACGATCCGGCCAAACTTTGCTCGTACAACACCGCGGTGTTCAGCAAAAACGCCTCCTACTTTGTCCACACTTGCGCAGGTCCTGATGTACCGCAAGTATCGCTGTTTTCTAAAAATGGCAAAGAGATCATTTCATGGAACAGAAACGATGAATTGGCCGAATATCTGAAAGGCAGAGACGTGCCAGTGATCAAGAAAATGTCGTTTGCCATTGCAGACGGTTTCGAAGCTAATGTGATGTTGAGGCTGCCTCCCAATATGGATATGAGTGGGCAGACGAAGTACCCCATGCTTGTCAATGTGTAAGATTTTTTTTAATTCCAAGTTCAACTCCAACATTCAGCTCTTTGTCTTCCTCATACCAAAACCGACAGTCTGTTTGTTCAGTCAGATTAATATTTCCTAGGCATTGTCTTAGACTACATTGTTCTGTAAGCAGTCTTGTAAGGATGAGTTAAATGATCTCCTTAGTTGTATTTTCCTTGGGTTTCTGTAGATTCGTCTTCGACTTTCCTAGTCCATATGACCTTTCCTCTTCGTACGCAAGGATTGTCTTCACTACGCTCAGTCACATATGATTGTTCAGACATTATTTTGTTCTAAAATTTGTTCTATCCGTCCTTCGGTTGCCCCCTTACGAGCAACCCTCAAAAGTCTTCGAAAGTCTTGTGCGAGCAAGGAATGACGGGGGCCTTACCTTTTAACGTGTGATCCCAAACACTTTCTTGGGCCATCAGAAAAATTTCTGCAGTCTACGGGGATCGAACCCACGACCGGCAAGCGAATGCGAATTAGAATATAGACACTCTGTCCGCACGGCTACCTGGCCATCCATTTGCTGGAGTTCATTGCGCAGAAGGCAAGGAACGTAACTTTACCTCTCCATAAATATAAAAATTCCGTATCAACGCATACTTCCAAAAATTGTTCTTCAGGGATTCATCTATAACCAATAGTTGTCGATTAGATCTTTTCTGATTCATTTCCGAGAGCCTTTCTGCATTCTTGTAGAATGGTAAGCATGGTAAGCCCAGGTATTCACATAAGCTTTTACTCATCTTGTTCATTAGCTTCTTTAGTTCACTGCCATATTCATTTTATTGTTATTGTTAGAGTCAAATCGTTATAGGAGAATCTTGATTGTCTAGTTTCAAATCAATATTATTAGTATTACTATCATTATTGTTTTCAAGTTTACCAGTTATTATAATGATAATTCATAGTATCACTTTACTTGAACCATCCTGTTTTATTATTCGAATATATCAGGAGATATTAGTCAGAGTTGTTATATAAAATGCGAGGTAAATGTATCCGTTAAAGAATGTGAATCAGATAGCAGAAGCGACATAGTTGTATTCGATACCTGTCTGAGTGTGGTCCAAAAGATATCAACTGAAATTATTCGTGTTTCAGTAGTTATCCTAACATTATGTATAATTTCTGAAATTTTCCATCAAATTCAAAATTGCTTTTGAGCACATGTCATTAATCCGTGTTAAGGGGGCCCTGGGGAGCTTCTTAATTAATATCCACTTCTTCAAATATCAACTTTATATTCTTGCACAATACACTCACAGCCCTTTAATCTAAACTATAATGGTCATCCTTACTATTCCCTGTCACATCTCTTATCTAGCTTATGTAATTCCTTAGTCATGCATTCAATATATCTTAGTCATAAAACCAACACCCGTCGATATTCTGAACATAATACGTGGTGATGGTACTGAATCACACAACATATATAAATAATAATAATGATGATGATACTAATACTAGTGATTAATGTAACTTGGTGTTTATCTCTGGAGTGTTTATAACATCTGTAATTCGTGATATTTTTAAGAAATTCTATAAATTTCATCACCGACCGTAGTCTGTCGAGGGTCGCTTCAACTTCAACTTCAAAATATGGGACAAATATCCAAGTTGATTTTTGAAAGTGGCACTTGAATCCTTGCTCATCCTTTGATTCATTGCCTTCCGTGTTCAGACTGGAAGAGAGGACGATTTATGCACTGGTTCTTGGACTAATTAGCATTGCCAAATTACATTTATACATCTTTGATTGGGCTAAGCTGAAGCGTCTTCAAGCTGGATCTGAGGCCAGAATATGTTGAATCTGTTCGGTTTCCTCTTTTTGTAAAAACTAATATTTGAAGATTTCAACAGAGGATCCATGGAATTTTCTGGTTTTTGTATGAATGGTCAATGTTTCAGATACGGGGGCCCTGACACATACCAAGTCATCGACAAATTCGTATTGGATTGGGGCAGCTATTTAGCTTCTAACAAGAGCATAATATATGCAACAATAGATGGCAGAGGATCTGGATTGAAAGGAGATAAAATCCTGTTCTCTAGTTACAGAAGACTGGGAACAATTGAGATAATAGATCAAGTAAATGTGACTAGGTGAGAAATGAATCAATATTATATAAACTGCATAGCAGTCATGAAGGATGGGAGTTCCTCCTTGCCTCATTGTATTGTCATGAAAATGTGACTCTAATTATTATAATATTGCACACAGACTGATTCAGAAGGCCCTATCTTATGTTGATTCTTCGAGGACAGCAATTTGGGGATGGAGCTATGGAGGTTATGCATCAGGAATGGCTTTAGCAACAGATTCCGAAGGAATATTCAAATGTGGAATTTCCATAGCGCCTGTTACAGATTGGGCGTTGTACGGTTAGTAAAATGTTAATTATAGATTTCTTAACTGATTTGGATATGAAGGAGATACTGTAAAAAACATCTGGGTTCAATTTTATTATTAAATGTCATGAACTCAGATGGCCTATTCAAGAACAACTCTCATGACATATTCTTTCCTTCTTAATATATGACTAACAAATCGAAATGTTATCACAACCTGATTCCCTGATAAGATACCAAAGTAATCACCTTGTTTAATTTCTGGACAAAATGGTTTTATATTCACCCTAGAGCAAACATTATATGGATTTTTTAATAAAGAGAAAAATAAGGTAGCTTTGTGAATTCCAATTTCTCCGGGGGAAATTAGTAATGTGGATAAGATCTCAAACAAACTTTGAAATTATTCTTCATGAAATAAAGTGTGGGTATGTAATAACAAGTATTAGGATGCATTCATTATGAGAATAATTATGGTAGCCTGGAAATTATGTCCTTGGGTGTTTTAAAACACAATAATCATCGTTGAACATTCTCACTCCCAACTATAATTCGAATCAAAATGAAATAATTATGTGTACACATGTACGGGAAAGGAAAGAGTTTCGAAAATTATATGTATTCATCTACGGAAGTTTTCAAAATGATCAAGGAAGAAAATTGAAAAATAATAATATAGGTACCTACTCATAAATTCAGTTATTCAATAGATAATATACCAATGTTGCATAGAAAAAGTGTAGTTTTCTTAGGAATTAGAAGGACATTTTGTTAATTTGCAAAAAATAATGAAAATAAGAATAATATGTTTCTTCAGATTCCATATATACAGAAAGATTCATGGGCCTACCAACAGTAGAAGATAACTTGGAAGGGTATGAAGAAGCCCAGCTCCTGAAGAAATTTGATGGACTGAGGGACAAAGAGTACTTTTTGATCCACGGTACTCACGATGACAACGTTCACTACCAACAGTCAATGTTGTGGGCTAAAGTACTTGAACATCATGACATTCTCTTCAGACAACTGGTAGGTATCAACCTCAGGCCTCAGGGCAAAAGATATACAGATGCCTTCTCTATCCTTGTGCAGCAAACATGTCGGGTTTGTTTATTTACGACTTTTATCATTTGTAAGTATCCTGGGTTCTTGGACCTTGGATAAATTAGCCGCTATCGGATGTAATCGGTACCTTTTAAACCTGTTATTTCAATTGCATGGTCGATAATCATCAATCGTCAATCAAGTATTATGATCGGGTTTTTCCGTTAGGTTTTGTTCTGTAAACTATGGCTCCATCCCTCTTGCTATGATATCAATATTGTGTTGTATTTGGATACAGAAGACATCATTTATTGTTCTGAGGTATCAACATTCAACATACAAGTGACTAAATTACATGACAATAATTATGAAAATTCTATCTATTACCTTTAAAGTGAAAAATGTGCGAAGGCAAATATTGGTTAGTTTGATTTGAGTAACTTGGCCCTTTATAGTTTTTTGTCAATTTAACCAGTACTTCGAAAATGAAACTTTTTTCATTTCCCACACAAAAATAACGGCATAGTACTGCATATCACTTAAGGGGCGAAAATTCGTAACATCACACAGTATATAATGGGAGATGTGTGGATTTTTACAAAATTGAAAATATATGGTTATTCATATTTTGCGTTTTCAAGTGCTCACACTGTATACAGGGATTGCCAAATCAAATATCCACTGCCATTGATAACATTTTTTTTATTAAATTATTTAAAACACCAAACAATCAGTATTTTGGATAAAAATTCCTATAAGCTTTTTCCATCTGAAACTTGAAGTTTCTGACAAAGAAAATTATAGTGAGCAGGAGTTTTCATTGAAAAATTGTATTCTCCATCCAAACTTGAAAAAGCGATGCTATAAATTGTTCTCTATTCTTCCATCTTAGAAAGCGCTGAAAACACGGCTAGTTTGCTAATGTTATATCTTTGATAAATGAAAATTTATTGATTAAGGATTATAGAAGGATTTTATAGTGAATAAATTATTTCAGGCAAATCCATTCATGTTTTCAACGATCTTACTTTTTTTCAGTCCTATCCTGATGAAGATCATAGTCTGGGTTCAGTGCGTCCCCATCTCTACCATTCATTAGAAAATTTTTTGGATGAATGTTTTGTTGGAAACAATGTTTGAATATGACTGACAGAGCCAGATAGGTCAGATGAAAGAAAATAAACGAAAACTTAAAGCACATTGGAAGCAGAACACCTTTAAATGATCGTTTTCACTGAAAGTGAGAAAATAACCCAACTTTAAAAGTGACTGAGAAAATATTCCAAAACTAGTCAAATATATCAAAATATTCAAGAGCATATTTTTAGTGAGCCATGGCTTTATTCATCTAGGTCTCATGAGATTGAAAAATGTTAATACTCTAGTGTACTCCTGTATATAATATTATTCAGAAAATGATTTTTAAATAAATTTTTATTCTATATTAACAATATCTTTAACAATGCATTTCTGTTTCTAAGATTGGTATTTCTAAATATGTTGCAACAACAAGAATCTCACTTGAAATGTTTGTTTTAGTACATTTCTCTTCAAGAAACAACATTTCAAATTCAACATCCCAACCCACCTCACCCACCTGATATTCTTCAAAATAAAAGTGTGTACAAGATACTATAAATCACTTCATCATGTATTGCATACCTTATCATGAGAAATATTCGGCTTCCTATCAATGTTTGATGGTGAAAAAGGTCCAGATGATAAAGTATTAATACCACCAGAGCCAGTATTCTCCACAGTCTCCTTGACATCCATATCCTGCGACCCAAAATGCTTCAAAATATTCTCGGCCAACGTAGTCGCTAAATCCTTTTGTGCCAGCAAATCCTTCAAATCTTCCTCAAGGTTCTCATCTAAATCGGTCGCGGAATTCCCTACTGGCGCCATGAAATCCTTCGGCTCCAGTAAACTATTGGGTTGCACTAATTTCTCAGTTTTAACTGTGTTGAGTCCTGCTAGAGTAAAAGGTTGGTTATTCCCGAAACTAGATGGAATGGCAGGTCTTTGAGCTGCAGGTCTTTTGATCTCCTGATTCTGTTGCATCAATCTGTATTGGTGTTGCAAATGCTGCATTAGATTCTGCTGTGCAGGGTTCAAGGACCCTGCATTTTGCTGAAAGTGATTCAACAGCTGCAAATGCTGAGGAGACAGTCCATATGGAGACTGAGGCAGTTTTTGATCAACCTCCATTTTGAAACGTTTGGTAGAGGTCTCATTGGGTGAAGGATATGGAGGTGGAGGCCCTTGTGGTGTAGGAGCCGAGTAATTCTTCTGGAAACTCTGAGCGGGAGTGCCTCTCGCTGGTTGAGAAGAATTCTGTTGCCGGGAAGACATCTCTGCAGATATTGGAAGATTCCAAGCCTCCTCGATGGACAGCAGCTGCCTCCTCTGTGACGTGACGCTAGGCATCGGAGCGCTAGAAAGATGGGTGTGAAGGAAAGCTATACGCTGGGCTAACTGAGGGTTTGTCCCTATCTTTGGAAAGTTGATTTGCGGTAGCTTGGTAGGGGAATCTTCCCCGGCTGCATCCGACATCCCGCGATTAGAGTTCAAGTAGCAAGCATATGCGTCTCGGGCTTGAAACGAGTTCTCATATAGAATACCTAAGTTGGCCCATGCAGCAGAATGACACTTATCCAACTGCACAGCGCAAATGTAAGCTTGAAGGGCATCCATAGGTTGATTTTGTTGTTGGTACAGTACACCAATGCTGCACCAGGTGTCTGCATTGCCTTCGGATTTCTCAACAGAATTTCTGTAAGCAATGAAAGCATCATGTACTTTTCCAATGCTTGCATAGCACCTACCGAGGAGATACAAGGTTTGGCCCGAAAACTGATCAGCTTCATTGGCTTTCTGCAAACAATGTATTGCTAATGGTATTCGCTGGCTCTTCTCACCCAGAGATTCTTGGCAATGGTATAACCAACCTAGCTGCCGCAAAATATCAGCTCTCAGTGACTGAGTGATTGATTTGTCCTTGATTAAAGCATCATACCTATCTTTTGCAACTCTAACCTTCCCCTGAACTTCAAATAAATGAGCTATATGGAACTTTATCATGCTTTTTGCTGCAGTACAAGGGTTATTATCCACTAAGGCTAACTGTAAGTGTTTTAGAGATAGATCATACTCTTGCATTACTTTGAACATCAATCCCAGTCGAAGGTTCACTTCATTTGCTCTTTGGAATCCTGGAGAGACATATAGTAATTGCTGGAATGCCTTGATGGCAAACTGAAATGCATTATAATGGAAGTAAACTAAGCCTATGCCATAGAGAAAACTAGTGTCCAGCCAATGATTTTCAGCTTGTGTCTTGTAAAACATTTGATAGGCTGATAGAGCCTTTCTATAGTCTTCTAATAACAAGTGGAAGTGCCCTAGCTTCACCCATGTTTTTGGGTCTATACTTATATTTTTTGATTGATTATTTTCTTCATTTTCTTTGATAGTTTGGTGTCTCTTTGCTTGTACTACCATCAGTTGTAGGTATTTCACAGCTTTTTGTACCAATGCCTTTTTTAATGCATTTTCTGGTTGACTCAATAGTAAAAATCCAAACTGACGACTATCTAATTCAGATAAAATATGGAGTTCTTGTGCAGTCATCTGAATATCATCAGATTCTTCTCTAGTACTAGTTGGTTTAGCACTCATTAGATCAGAATAAGTATCTGAAAAGTAATGGAACAACAAATTCATTGGCTCATCATGACCATTTATGAGTTATGCATTTATGAAATCTTTAAAGGAGTTATTCAGTGATTAGAAATCAACTGAAGGAATAAATAAATTGTACAGTGCATCCCATTTTGGGTGAGACAGCCAGGTTTCTCGCTTGTTATTGAAGATAGAGCCTTGCGGTTTTCACATTCCTGTCTAAAGATGGCCTAATCAGATTTTGCATAACTGTTTCCGTTTATGAGATACAGGGCGATTTTGAAAATTTATACTTTTCGGGCCCCTCCTTTATCTCCGAAGTTATTGGAAATAATGCTGAGCTAAAAACTACGTCTGATACAGAATTCTGCGTAGAATCCAGTGGCGCACTCAACTTTTTTTTCGGGGTATGGTTTCGAATATACGACACAAACCTATATTTTTTTCAATGGAACACCCTGTATTTTATTACTTCATTGAATTCGTTATTTTGTTCCCTTCAAAATGATGTCTAATACTATATAGGTCGGGTGTTCAGAAATGCTAAAACATCACATAATGATGATTTTTTGTTAGTGGGCCATGGATTTCCCAAGTTTCAATAAGAGGGTTATTACTTTTGATTATCAACAGTAGTAGGTCATGGATGATACGAACATCCTTGTTGTTACTATGCATTTGGAAGCATTGTTTTATCAAGTGAGCATTGAAGAGAAAAAAGAAACAAATCTGATCTAGCCGTCACCGCTATGAAATATTATTGTGTATCATCGTGTTTGGGTTTGAAGGAATATTGAATATTGTAGAAATAATTTTTTGTGAATTTGTTAATTGAGAACTGATAATGGCTGGAAGAGATTTGGTTTTTCAAAACAATGAAAAATATGACATTATACAATGTTTCAGTTTCAATCAATGAAATGAAAACGTTGGCGAATCTTTGGAACTCTATTTGAACAGGTATGGCGTCGAGAATTTCACCACAAGATATTTCCTTACATCATGATTTAAAAACTTTCAGATATCCAGAGAGGTATCAACCTAGTCGAGCAACTATATTCAGACTAAAGAATAATTTATAGAATTATTATGGTGCATATTCTAAGCCTCGACCCAAGGTATACAGGGTATCCCATAAGTAATGGATCAAAAGAATCACATATAAGCAGCCGATAACAACAGGGCCGATTTGGTTTTAATGTGGCATGTTTCATATATGGGACAGAAATCATATACCGAATTTTTGAAGGATCTCTTACCTCAAATAGGTACTTGAAAATTCTAGAAGACGTGTTACCGGAACTACTGGAAGATGTTTCCCTCGCCTTCCTTAATTCCATACATTTTCAACAGAACGGCTATTTGAAAAATAAAATATACAATAACAGACACAACAGTCCCGAAGAACTTCGTGCATCAACAGAGGCAGCTTTCCGGGATTTACAAAGGCGCCCTTTTATAATATTAAATGCACTCAGGCGTATTGAAAAGGTTATTAGGGAAAATGGACAGCAATTTGAACAGTTTAATCAGTAAGATATTATGTAATGTTGAAAATTTGTTCATGAAAAATATTTTATTGGGTATTTCTTCTGTATCTAATTTGTATTATGAATTTGTATTTTTCATTTGTTGCTATTAGGTAGGTACCCACGTTTTGTTTTTCATGTTAGTGATGAGTGTATTATCTTTATTAGCTTACGATCTCCTATGAAAAAAATCACAAATAAAAATTATCCAATTGATTCTTCTTTTATATGGGAAATCAATGGCCCACTAACAAAAAATCATCATTATGTGATGTTTTAGTGTTTTTTTAGAATTTATGAACATCCTACCCATATAGTATTATACATCATTTAGAAGGGAAAAAATAACGAATTCAATGAAGTGATAAAATACAGGATGTTCCATCGAAAAAAATATGGGTTTGTGTCGTATATTCAAAACCATTGAGTGCGCCACTGGAGTCTATGCAGAATTCTGTATCAGATGTAAGCTCAGCATCATTTCTAATAACTTCGGAGATAAAGGAGGAGCCCAAAAAGTATCTCATAAACGGAAACATTTATGCAAAATCTGATCAGGCCATCTTGAGTTTCACAAAAAAGTAAATCAGAAACATGAAGACCGCAAGGCTCTATCTTAAATTACAAGCCAGAAACCTAGCTGTCTCACCCAAAACACGGGATGCACTGTACAGGTAGGTAGGTATTGTGACTAATCACTAACTTAACTTAATTTAAACTTGAATGAAAACTCCTTATTAGAGTCGACAAACTTTTCAGTATAACACTTGACCCAAAAGTATAATAACACAGGAGCACCTCATAAAAAATTGATTTATTGACATGGACTGTTGTATTTCAGTTAGTGCATTTCACAGTATATGGTCTGATATTCTGGGGATCAAAATACTTTGAGAAGATTTTCATGGCCAAGAAATAACTCTTGAGAACAATGCTCAATGTCCAAACAACAACTAAAATTGTAGTAATTTGTTTAATAGACCATGAATTATTCCAACAATTATTGAAATCGACTCACCTTAGCCTTCACTAGTTTTTTAACATCAACCAATTAACCTACTGGACTCCAATTATGGAAATATAAATATTTATTATATTATGTTTATATTAAGTTTATATATTTGAAAATAATGACATCAATGACATCATGCCATCACTGACAGGCGTGTCAGAAGAATCAGCTGAGAGAAGTGCCTAAATATTTCGAACCGTTCCCATCACCCAAGAAGAATTTCTGATACACAAGGTGCGTTCGGTTTAACAAAATCGGAGCCGAGCGAGCAGATGCAGATTTGGTGTCACGTGATCACCTAGCAGATAGAGCTAATGGTATTTAACGAACGCTCAACGAGGTAGTAGATTGCGAGCGCCAGCTGTCAGAAGTAATTATTACTTTTAAAAACACGTCAGGGCAACAAAGTTCTTTTGAATGTTTGTTGTTTATATTTTGAAAATTACTAGGGAAGGAATGATTCTGTCTCATATGATCGGTCATTAACTGTGGATCCAGGGCAGTTGTGATCGCATATATTACAGATATATAATTAATATGCTACCTACAGCAAATTCGTCGGTCATTCTGGCGATTCTGGGCAAGGAGGATTCTACAAAATTCAGTTTCGTGTTTCGTTTCCAGTTGATCGAGTCTTCAATTTTTCGACATAAAAGAGATATAATTTCAATAACATGTTGTTGACATTAAATTGTTGACAATTGACAACCGAATAACCGATCAAATCTGAATGATCTGCTCCTCAAGGCGGAGCAAACAGATTACATCTTTCAGCTCGCTCTGACAATTAACGAACACGGAGCAGATTAGACAGAGGAAGTAGATCTGATTTATCGAACGCTTTCCGAGCTAACAGATGGAATCGAGCTAACAGATATGTTATAACCGAACGCACCTAATAGCGCATTTACTTTTTTTTTTATACAAATGGAGTTCATGTTTCTCCGAAACTAGGATGCATGTATTGTAAAAACCTTTGAACATAAAACAGACTTTATGTTCAAAGGTAAAAACACCTAGTGTTAAAACTGATATTCTGCGCTACATTGAAAGCGGAGTATTGTAAAAATTGCCATTGTTGCATTACACAAAATTTCATGACAGTAGAGATGTGATGAATTTTCGTCATAACTTAAGTCCTCACCTATAGTTTTTACAATATATGAGGTTTAAATGCATTGCAAAAATGAGTTTTTGCAATAAATTCGATCCAATGTATATTAAAAAGTAGTTTTTACCATGTTTTTACTTACAATACATGAGGCTTAATGTATTGCAAAAATGGGTTATGCATTTGATGAATTTTGCTATATCAATTATTTCAATCTTTATTTCAATACATTTTGTCAGCAATGTTTGTCTTTACAATACATGGGGGATGGGGGGCCAGGTAGCCGAGCGGACAGTGTCAATATTCTAATCCGCATTCACTTGCCGGTCATGGGTATGGGTTCGATTTCCATCGACTGCAGAAATTTTTCTGATGGCCCAAGAAAGTGTTTGAAAGGTAAGGCCCCCGTCATTCCTTGCTCGCACAAGACTCTCGGAGAGGCAACAAGGGGCAACCAAATGACGGATAGAACAAAACAACAACATGTATTGCAGAAACTATATTATTACAATACAGTGCTTGTAGTCTATCTCACCATCGTTTTTACCATACATCGCAAGTTGTTGTATTGTAAAACGTTTCATTTTTGAAGCAAAAATAACAGTTTTTACGATATATTTTCAAAAAGTAAAAAGGCATTGCTCCTTGCTCCATATGTTGCATGTCCCGTGCCAGTACCGCCATTTACCATAGAGTGCCATAGACATAACACGCTTTAACATTGACACGGATTGTGTCATCGTTGATTGTGTCATCAGTGTCATCCTTGTCATCTCAAGTGTGTCACTTGTGTCAGTCAGTTTTAGTTTCATCTCAGTTTCAACGATCTTTAGATTTAATTTTTTCTACTTTCAAGGCACTATTTCCATTCCGATATTAATATATTCATTGGCACTCAATTGGCACATTACAACCACTAGGTATTCACTGATGCCACCAGTTGATAGTACACCCAGCATAAATATGGGAAATTTTGAACTGCTATATTCCCTGAAAGCTTATAACAGAATCCCGGTTTCCGAATACATTTCCAATAAAACTGGACTCACAGTTGTAATTGCAGAGGTAGAAGGACCTGTTGTCAATGGATTCTTCTGTTTAGGTTTGTATTTGTTTATTATAAAAATTCCAAATAATAAATACCCAATTTCAACTTCCACAGCTACTGAAACCTTTGATGATGATGGTTTGCCCCACACTTTGGAGCACTTGATATTTCTGGGAAGTGAAGAATATCCTTTCAAAGGCGTATTAGACTTACTAGCTAATCGATGCTTAGCTTCAGGAACAAATGCCTGGACAGACATTGACCATACCTGTTATACAATGGAAACAGCAGGAAGTGAAGGGTTCTTGACTCTTATGCCAATATTTCTTGAGCACATTCTCCATCCAGTCTTGACTGTAGTTCATCTATAGATTGTTTTTGGCCTTGATACATTGTGGTTGTCTTTTGTAGGAGGAAGGTTTCATTACAGAAGTTCATCATATCACATCTGAGGGTTTAGATGCTGGTGTTGTCTACTGTGAAATGCAAGGAAGAGAAAATTCAGCAGAATCTCGCATGCACCTGAATGTTGCCAGAAATATTTATCCTGGAAAATGTGGGTATTCTTCTGAAACAGGAGGTATCATGAAAAACCTCAGAGAATCCACAACAAACACCAAGGTACACTATACAAATGTTCAACAGTTATACATGTATGCACTGAAATATCACTTTCTTAATGAAGAGCACATATTGTATTTGTATTTATCCCTATTTATCATTTATCCAATTAATTAAATGCACTATACTATATCCCAATAATTCATGCTTAAGGTAAAAAACTACCACAAGGATTTGTACAGACCAGAAAATTTGAAAGTCATAATCACAGGTCAGGTGAAACCAGAAGATGTATTTGAAGCATTGAAAAATTTGGAGGAAAAGCTCATTTCAAGAGTAATATTACTATTTATGATATATGATATTTTATTATTCCAAGTTCATTATTAGGGAAATCAAGAACCCTTCCAACGCCCTTGGCAAAACCCTGTGCCTCCTTTAACAGAAGGATCCAAAGATTTGGTGATCAAATACCCAGCTGATGAAGAAACAAATGGTCTATACTGTATTGCTTGGAGGGGTGCATCCTGTGTTCAAGACTTGTACTCTGTTACAGCCACTATGTTGCTATTGAAATATTTAACTGAATTCTCTGTGTCCCCACTACCAAAGGAACTAGTGGAGATTGAAGATCCTTATGCTAGTAAAGTAGGTAACTTGATGATAATGAATGATAATGTCTCTGGAGAATTTATTTTGCTCATAATGTAATGTTTCTAAAGAATTTGTTTACTCCCTCTTTCTCTCACTGTGTATCTCTATGCCTCTATCTTTCTGTTGTTTGTTAATCTATGCCTGAACTATGAAAAATTTACTCTAGCATAGAGCATCCAATTCATGACCAAAAGATTGTGTTTTCAGTCAGGACAATTAATTTTACACATATTAGGTGAATACATTTGATTCTTCAAAGAGTGGTTCTTGTAGAATTCTGTTTATTACATCAATCCAAGTTGATAATGTTGAAATATTTGGAATAAAATGGTACTGCTTGCACCATTGTAATTCTGTATATTTACTGAGAGAGAGAGAGAAAAACTTCATTAGGGTTATACCCCAAAAGACCATTGACCCACGTCTTTCAGCCTCATTTTAACTGATTGATCCACGGAAGTGGCTTTCTGTAGGTTGCATAATATATAGCTGGCAATCCACAGAAGTGGCTTTCTGTAGGTTGCATGGGTGTCAAGGAATCTATTAGACAAGTCATAACTTCTAGACCATTAGGTGTATCAGAATGAGATTTGGTATAGGTGAATGGTATGTGAAGAGGAGAGTTTCCACATAATTTTCACATTCCGGTCATTTCCGGTTTCACCGGAAATGGCTCCGGTTCTAAATTTTTAAATAGCACACCCTGTAACATGTTTGGATTTCTGAGACAATTCTAGATCAGAATGTGACATTTTAGAAAGTTTTCATGCCTACTTAATTTTTTCGCAGTCACATTTGAAATTACATCTAGGTGGCCATGATCGGAAGTAAACTAATCGCCTCAGGTGATATCAGAAAATTACAATCGCGAAGTTTTAGTGACAAGTATGATAGATATGAATAAGACAAGTTGGCAAAATTACATTTTCGTGTCTAACTATTATTTTTCAAATGGCGACCATTTTTTGACAAGCACCTTCTGAAAAAAGAATATTTTGACTAATCTAACGAAACTAATTTATTTGCGATTGGACCAACAAATTTGTTGTTGATTTTGTTGGGCCCAGTACCGAGAATTTTGCTTATCAAACAAGCCATTATTTTTAAATCGTGATTCGCCGGAAAATAGAATGAAGTTGATAAAATTTGGGTTAACTCTATGATTTTGAAGCAACCAATCACAAAACACTACTCGTCTATCGCCATCGTCAGCATACAAATGTTGATGTAACTGATATTTGAATGCTCGATATCCGTGCTTTTTCAATATTTTCCTTGTTGATTCGTGACTCATCTGTATTTCTCGACTAATTCCTCTTAAAGAAACCGTTTTGTCAACCTCAACCATAGCAAGAACGTTAATCTCAGTCTCCTCATTTATGATAAACCTCTGTTCTGCTTCTCGATTTCCCTCTTGCCTAAAACGATTCTCAACATACGGGAAATAATGATGGGATGGATGTTGCTGATTGGGATATCTCTGAGCATACAACTCAGCAGCATTCCTTGAATTTCTTGAACATTCTCCAACCAATGACAACATATCCACTTTTTCACTTTGAGTATACATTATTTTGATGGAAAATTAAACTAAAATTTAACGAAAATCAAGAAAATTTTACCTTCTGCTCTTGAAGCTTATGTCACTGTCATAACCTAAGCACGATCCTAAGTGAGTGTTTTGTTCTCCCAAGAAGACTTAATAAAAATAACTGAAAAATATTATGCATCATGCCTATCCTCGGCACACTTGACAAAAGTAAATAAATTATTATGAAGTATTTTCGTCAGTTATATTTAATTTATGTTCTTATTTGTAATCCAATCGCAAATAAATGAGTATCGTTAGATTCGTCAAAATATTCTTTTTTCGGAAAGTGCCGCTTGTCAAAAAATGGTCGCCATTTGAAAAATAATGGTTAGACACGAAAATGTAATTTTGCCAACTTGTCTTATTCATACTTGTCACTGAAACTTCGCGATTGTAATTCTCTGATATCACCTGAGGTCCTTAGATTAGTATACTTCCGATCATGGCCACCTAGATGTAATTTCAAAAGTGACTCCGAAAAAATTGAGTAGGCATAAAAACTTCCGAAAATGTCACATTCTGATCTAGAATTATCTCAGAAATCCAAAAATGTTACAATATACATTCATTTTGATACACCCTATGGTCTAGAAGTTATGACTTGTCTAATAGATTCGTTGACACCCAGTATAGCTGGCATATGTAGCACACAATTTCTACCCATTATAAAACCAATAATTAATGTAACAGTGGGGTATACCCTAAATGAAAAAGAAACCAGTTCAATACTTATTATCAACAACTATTTTCTTGTAGGTTTCCTACAACATGAGTGAAAATTCGGAGACTTGTGTATACCTTACCCTTGAAGATGTTCCCATAGGCAAACTACCAGAGGTTGGGCCAAAGTTGAGAGCAATTCTCAAAAGAATCCTTCTTAATAAGGAAATTGACATGGAACAACTGAAAAGTATAATCAACAGATACAAACTGGAGAGTTTGAGTAACTTGGAGAATAGCCCACACCAATCTATAGCATTCATGATAATCGGTCACATGTTGTATGGAAACACTAAAGATGATGTAAGGTTTCAAATATGACAGAACTTCATTACATATAATCAATGGATCAGAAGTGAAAATTTATTATTGTAAACGGTATTTTTCAGTTGGAGAAACGAATCAATCCACTCACTGACATATCAAAGCTGATGAATGAACCATTACCATTCTGGTTGAACATTTTGCAAAAGTATCTGGTAGATAACATTTACATTGCCATACAATGTATACCTAGCAAAGAAGAACAACAGAAGATGGCTAAGGAGGAAAAAGAGAGGGTAGAAACACAAGTGAAGAATCTCACAGAAGTTGGTTTGAAGGAGAAAGAAGAAATTCTACAGAAGGCTATCGAATTCAATGATAGAGAACCACCTGCAGATATGCTGACATCTGTACCAATTCCCAGCATTGATTCTATAAGGTTCCATAATATTGAAAGATTCACAAGTGAATCTAAGGATAAAGGAAAGATTGATGTTTCTAGAACTCCAGTATTCACATACTTTGACCATTTGAAGACAAATTTTGCCTATGTAAGTGTGGCATTTGATATTTTTTATGAATGATATTATAGGAAATTGGTGATATATATATATAGGAAGAGGGTAGTAGTTGCTGGAGTAAACTAGGGAGTATTGGGGATGCAGCAAAAGTCAAAAGAGTACTCTTCAAAGTTTGTCCAAACTTTTGAAAATCTTTATTTTCATCTTCTTTACAGGCTCCCTGAAGATGAAAATAAAAATTTGGACAAACTTTGAAGAGTACTCTTTTGACTTTTGCTGCATCCCTAATACTCCCTTGTTTACTATATAATATATAAGTTTAACATAAACTATCCTCTAGTTACTTACTTGTGAAGGCAGACTCTTCCTGTCCAGCCTGAAAAAATACAACAATCATTTAAATATGGAAATCCTAATGTAATCATAGAAATCTGGTGATTGATAGCACCTCTTCTGGCTATTTCATTCACAATGCAGTTACAGTTAATGTCATGGGGACAGCTAAATCTTATAGACATTAACATTGACCATTCCTATATTTTTCACATCAACAGCAAATGGGTCCTTAGTGATTGAACCCAAGATATTATGCACCCATATATGTTTATAAGGAGAATGAGTAATCCTTCATTTATTTAAAAAGATTTTGTGTCTTACTGAGAAGCACACTAGCACAGTTACATGACCTCATTTTTTTATTTTTTGTTCCCCAATATCAAAATATTGTTTAGTTTACCTATAGTTTGTTCAGATTGTTCGGGCGGATAGTGATCAATGCATATTAGAAATATCGTTTTACAGTGTTGATCGGCCATGATGCTGAATGAACTAAATGTTGTTTTCAGCTTTTTGCAGTTCTAGATACTACCAGTGTTCCTTCTGAGCTAAGAATCTACCTACCCCTGCTCTTGGAGTCCATTTTAGAACTACCCCTGGAACGTAATGGTAAAATCATCCCATATGAAGCAGTTGTCGCTCAGTTGAACGACGATACAGTCAGCAGCGCCACGTCAATAGGAATCCAGAGAAACAACTATTTCTCGTGCGGCAACTACTCCACGACTGCCACTATAGGTGAAAAATTTGTGTGTTTCCAATAATGATTCAATTTTAATCACTATTCAATTTCATTCTCAAGTTCCTTCATTTGAACAATTGAAACATCTACTCCAGTTGTAACTTTTTCTTTATCTCTTGGAGCGCACAAAAGGAAATTACTATAATGTTCATGGAACATCGCGTATACCTAGGGAGGATATGGAATTTGTATTGAACTCTTGGAGGTTATAAGTTTTTGGAAATACTTCCATTGAAAAAGAGTTCCAAAAGCTTCGCCGTTCTAAAGACGAACGAGTTTTGGTAGAGTGTTGCTCGACATTTTTCAAGGATAACGACGAAGGGATGTGCTGACTCGGCCTGTCGAGTTCGTCTGACTGGTAAAAGTAAAAGGTCGCCGACTTTTCTACGGTGTTCTAATGGAGTTAAAGAGTTGGTGAGTGTGGCATTACCCACCAGTTGATGGCTCTCCTCTGGGAGGAATCTAAGAGCATCAGTGTATGTTTGGGTGCTGAACCCCATACATGAGAACAGTATTCTAGAACTGGGCGTACCTGTGCTGAGAAGCTGTTGAGGTGTTAAGTAGATTTTCGATTTTATCGATGGATCGGACATGATTCTCCCATGACAGAGTATTGCTGATGGTAATACCGAGCATAGATATAGTTGCATGCTTCATAGCGAGGAACTATTACTATGTTAGCAGATGGCATTTGCCGCCATAGCCTGAATTAGAAGTGAAAAGGATAACTCATTCATATTCATAAAATTAGATTCAATAATCAGACTAAATGGCAAAATAAATCCTGTCTGTATAATCCAACGAATTATTGATCATCATTGACTGATATCTCGCTGTACAAAAAGTATATTTGAATGACCTCAATAATTGATTGCACAAACAAATATGTGCATCTTTAGCCTCATAGATACTCCAGTGAAATTATGGTTTCACCTCGGAATGAGAGATTATATGCTGGAAACTCGTATACACCTTAGTTTTGAATTTATGAAAATTATAGGAGTCAAGTAATGTTTGTCGGTTACTCAACCGAAAAGATACATATGTATAATGTTAAAGATGGAAAGCCCTGATTCCGAGTGACAATGGAAAATAAAAAAACTCCACCGCCCCGTGTGAGAGTCGAACTCACAACCTCTGGGTTACATGCCCAACGCTCTGCCAATTGAGCCAACGGGTCATCCGTCGATCAATCGGCAGGGAGGTCGAGTTCCAATTCCCGAAGTCAGCTTGCTGTAGCTGTAGTCAAACTTGTCAATGACATAAAGTGTTAGCACTGTTGGTAGTGATGATGGTTGAGTTGGTTATTTTTTTTACATTATAACATTTTTATTAGTTTAGTGAACAGTGAACGGGTGAAGAATTGGAGTTCAAACAATTCAAACTAATTATGACGAGCAAATAAATTGACATATAAAAAGAACAGCTACATCATGTTTGCAATACCCAGATTGTCCTGCTTTGCATGAACATAAAAATCCATTGTTCTACAGGAGTTTCTCTGGACCTCAACTTCAATTTTTCTTCATGTGGGGAAGATTTCATCGCCGAAGTTTGTAGACAAAGTGCAAAAATTTGTTGAAGTCTTCTGCCTCACACAAAATCACATGATTAGCACGGAGAACTGCTTCTCCTTCCACCACTGGTCGGCTTTTTCCATCTAAATAGAGCAAAATATCTGCCAATAGAACATCTAAAACAGGCATTATTAGCGTTTTCGATCGAATATTGACAATTCATGTCAAGATATTTAAAAACTTATCACTCTTATCAGTACACAAGCTAATGGTACTAATGGGATTGGGTGAGGATTGAGTTTGTTTATCCTCAGTTTTGACGTGGCTTTGACATGGAACGATGAAAACCGACCGCCACCTGGTAACATTGATTCCCGCTCCAAATGGCTCCAATGATATTGATGAACAAAATCATGGAAAAAATCTGTCGCAAATTTCATACTCTACAATTTTTATAATAGGTGGTAACATATTTGGAGCTATAGAAACCTAGATAATCGCAAAAAACGAATTTTGTGAACTTTGACTTTCAATTATGACGCAGAGACGAGATTTTATGAGACTTTTGAGACAACTTTCAGAACGTAAAAATGAAGGTGTATACGAGTTTCCAGCTTATTATCATTCTGAGGTAGCCCCTTTTTTTTCTCAAATGATTTAAATGACAAAGAGATTAACTTATTGGAATAATAAAGTATGTTTCATATTCTCAATCTTTTACATAGCTCTACAAGCAGAATCTGCTAAATATGAGGTTGGAGTTGAATGGTTGCAGGAGCTGTTGTACAAAACTATCATTACTCCAGAGAGATTGAAGGTTATTGCTATGAAAATGAACAATTCTGTTGCGCAATTCAAGAGGAATGCCAGAAGCGTAGTGTTCTATGCGATGAAGGGGATGCGGTATTCTGAAGGTAAGTAAAGACGTAAAGACTTCAGTTGAAATGTTCAACTATTGTGGTAAAACGAGTTATGTTTCAATTATCAATGAATATTGAATTATCAATCCTTTTATCTCAACAGGTTGGTAAATTCATTCATTACGCAAATACTTTTGGATGATTGTTGTTATACTTTTCAAAACGGTCATAGACGAATTACTTAAAAATCACTAGATGTGTTCTCCTCATCTGTCAGTTTCCAATAGAGCCAGCAGATGTATTTATAACATGTTATAGGTCGCGTGCACATGTGAGAGATGACCTACCCTGGAGGTAAAACAACCTCAGTCTTCTTATTCGTTTTCGAAGGATTGAAAAAGTTTTTCGTGTTTTTGGGCTATTTATTAATTCAAGCATGCCTTCATTGTGATCTGAAAGTACTGTAATCACTCACAAAGTTTTCATTTTGAAATGTTGTCATTTCTCATTAGAATAGGCAAGTTGACTATTTTTTTTAATCCTTAAATTGAATCATCACTCATATACCTTTCAATTTCATATATTTTTAGAATTCTTCGTTAGATTTTTAGGTGCTAAAATCATCAATGATACCATGGTAATTTTCAAACGGATAGAAATTTACCGCGAGTAAACACTGACGTCACGATTTCGTAAGTAGGGGCAGACCATAGCACAGTTGCCATATGTTGAAATATGAAGGTAAACATTCATACATTCTCATTTATGTATTGGTAATATTCCTATTCAGCAATACAACATTAATTGTCTCAAAATGTTCCCTTATGATTTGTGGCTTATTGATTATAATACATTTGTGTAAATAGTAATTATATTGATGCACACTAGAGGACATTTGAATCGGTGTACGTGACAACACGGCGCGCACGACTTGTGGGCGTGGTCTTGTCCCTTCTCAGCATTCAGCACAATGTTGCCAAGTCTTCAACATTTACATGATATTTTGTTATGTAGTATAAGAAATATTTGGACATGCTGGTTGCTCGAAAGAGGAAAGAATGACCTATAATATCATGGGTTCCTCCTATTGTCCTCCTATATCTTTTTGATAACTTTATTATAATTGTTGACTTGACAATCTTGCTTCGTGAGTGGGAATGGAAGATTATCTGACCAATAACAAAACATCATGAGAGCTGACGTTACCATTTATTCGACGTATCTCTAAATGACGGAACGTTTGAAAAGAAGGCAGGAAGCTTGGATTCCTGCAACCAAACGGGAGGACGAGTGTGACATGCAGGCGAAATAATATGGTCGTGTGTGTTGTAGACTTTATTTCTATTGCAGAAGTGGCAGAAGGAATCCTAAAGAGAAATCACACTAAAGTACTTTTAGATCACAATGTAACTGAAAAATCTTATTCCTTCGATCCTTCGTCTCTCGCTGCATTTTTCGTGCATTGTACCACAGCACAATGCGATGGCATGCTTGTATTGATGAATAGCCCAAAAAACAAGATTCGTGATTGTGAAAAACTATTTTATTCTTTTTTAAACAAATGAGAAAAGTTAGGTTGCTTAACCTCCAGGGTCGGTCATCTATCACAATTTGCACGCGACCTATTGCAGATTGGAAATGTTAAAGGTTAAGTATGTCCGGCGAGGAGAATTTTGAAATTCTCAAATACATCTTTTCAGTACACTGAAGTCCCAAATCTCTGAAAATATGACTGTGAATATTGCAATTTCAAGTATTGATTGTATTTTTCAGATAGTAATGTCCTGCAAAATGGAGTTTTGCAACAAAGTAGGTTTTTGACCGAAGTTATCGAAAAAATAGATAGCGAGGCCGGTAAAGACATGTTAGCGAATTTTGAGAAAGTGAGGAGAATATTGTCTGATCCATCAAATTTGGTGCTTTATGTCGCTGGAAATTTAGAGACTTTGAAAGATTCTGCTAAGCCACTTGAAGACTTTCTTCCACCTAATGTTAAAGCTCCCGAAAAACTACAGAAGTAAGTTCAACAAGGGTTTCTTCAAGTTATTAAATAGCTAATTTGATGCTGATTTTGTTATCCTCAAATTCCATCAATATCTGAAAAAACCTAACCTAAACAATAATATTGGCACAAAAATCTCAACACATGTTTTGGTTCCACATAGCTCCTACAATTTCTTTAATAAATTGATATTTCATATTTTATTATTTCAGGTTGAAAGTTACTCCTGATTTTAATCTTTTGAAAGAATCAAATGATATCGAATCTGGTTGCATTATTGGTATGGGCTGTCTGGAATCATCATTTTTTGTCCAGACTACAAGGAGTATTTCTTCACATACTGATCCAGACTTACCAGCCTTAATGCTTTATCTTCAATATTTAATCCAAGCTGAGGTAAACTATCTAAAAATCTATGAAAACTATTAAGCCTGTGCAATATCAATCAAATTGAAGAATATTCAATATATCCTTACCCCACGCGGGAGAGAATTGAAATCTTCAATATCTGAACACGTGTCTGTACAAATGGAAATTCAACCTCAAAACGAGCAGCCTGCAATGGTAGTTAAATTTTCATATTATCCAAGAGAAAAAGAAAATGGAAGAGAAACAATTGAAAAAAGGGACGTGTGTATATTGTTTATGCGTTCATTGAAATTCATTATTCAATTCAAGTATATCAATCAAATTAAGTTCGTTCTTTATTATTGCTGTTCGTTTGTTTTATTATTGTTATAAATTATGCAACACCACATCGGACAAAGGTTTTTTTCGTTTCAAAGTCCTTAAATTCAATCAAAACCAATGGGGTAGATTACTACTCCACGCGGTCCACGTTCAAGTTTCTATCGGCGCGGTCCCTCGCGGGTTAATTGAACTTGTACTATAGGAATATCCGGTAGCATTATTTGAGAGAACATTTTTTTCTTCTAAACTATGCGGTGAACGAAATTTTTATAAGAGTAATAAAATGAAGGTAATTGATTAGTCTTCAAGCTCAAAAAATTTCAGAACCGTATTATGACCCCTAAAAAAGTTCTGAAAAAAAATGTCAGGTTAGGTGAGGGTTGTTTTAACCCTTCTACAATTTCCTTTAGGGTTCTTCGAAAGGAAAGTAATCCTCTGAGATACACTATTGCCAAATTTCATCAAATTAATTTCACTCATTTCTGAACAGCGTACAAAAATGTGTTTTTTTATGTGAATTTTGCACCCTTCCCACGGACAAACGGTACATTTTGGCACATAAATAAATTGGGACTAATCAACTTATTCATTTTGACCTCCTCTACACGTGATAGCTCTGTGTCCCAGCAATTTTTGGGCCCTATATTATGCGAAGAAATGAAAATAATTCTATTTTCATTAGGAACAGTTTGAAAATGCCTAACAAATATTTTTATTATTAGGGGCCAATGTGGAAGCAGATCAGAGGCAAGGGATACTCGTACGGTTATAGGATGACCGTCAAAGTGAACGAGGGTCTCCTGTATTTGATGTTTTCGAAAGCGACGAATGTCGTCGGCGCCTATAAGGAGACCAAAGACATCATTTCGAAACAACTCGCAGAGAAACTTTGGGACGAAACACTGTTGGCATCGGCCAAGAGTTCCATGATTTTCGAAATTATCGACGAGGAGAAGACTATCGGTAGTGTGGTAACGCTGTCCTTCAATTCTTATTTCGATGGCGTGGATTATAAATTCAATAGGTAGGTGACAATAATTAGAAACATCCGAAAATAATCATCAATCATTTAGTCCAATCAAATGGTATACTTGGAAAAAATTTAAGTAGTCGGTTTCTCTGTGGTTTCGTATGTTTTTGGAGGTGCTGAATTCGAATCTGAATTTTGCAAACAAAATTTCTTGGAGCGTTCCGAGATATTCGCAAAAATCAGCAAAATGTTCGGACTTTTTTCGTTTCTTTGCCCGTAACTCGAAAATTATTTGTTATATCGAAAAGACCGCCCTACAGGAAGTTGAAGTAGATAAAATTTCCTAAATATTATGGTCATTTCTCGTGAATGTAGGACTAACGAGTGCGGAGATAGAGCCAGTTGAAAATTGACCAAATTCCGTACTTTTCAAAAAATAGCATTTTTCGTGGGTTTTCGCAGACTGGTACTTTTCATGAACAAAGGTGATCCGCGGTTTAGTGTCAGTCTCCTTTAGACCCATTGTTTTTAGTAATAGCTCAGAGGGTAGTGCCTTAGCTCTTGTTTGCTGAGACTTACTAGCTTACGAATTGTTGAAGGATTCTTTCCTTCTCGTTTACCTGGAGTTGCTCAACAGTAGTAGTATTTTTCACTTCATTCTCATTGATAAGGTGGCATTTGCTTGTCTCACAGAAAGGTAGAATGTGAGCTCTGCACTTTTTTGCTAGGCGATCAGGTGCCTCATTCCCTTGACGCCATGGAACCCACATGAGCGAGAATTGATTCTCATACTTATTCATCACAAAATAGGTAATTTTGATAGTTTGAATAGTTTATCAGTTTTTTATCAAAATGTTCAAAGAATACCCTATAGCATTTGGAATTATTGTATCGCAATTATGACAACTATAATTCCAGCGTACAGAATCTTTTTTTGTCTACTTCAACTTTTTATGAAACGGTCTTTTCGATATAATGTATGATTTCCGAGTTACGTTGTTGTTCCAGGAAATTTTGTCTGCAAAATTCAGATTCGAATTCAGCACCTTCAATAACATATAGAACCACAGAGAAACCGACTACTTGAATTTTTTCCCGGATTGGGTCCTAATCGTTACCGTTTTACTGAGCTAATTCAACACTACTTATTTTGGATAAAAACTTCCACAAAAATTGATATATCCACCATTGCATTCCACCGAGGTATTCGTAATTTTGTTTCAAAATAATGTATCACAAGAACATTATAGTCATTGAAAATTGTTATAAATTGTTCTATCCGTCATTCGGTTGCCCCCTTACGAGCAAACCCCAGAAGTCTTCAAGAGACTTGTGCGAGCAAAGAATGACGGGGGTCTTACCTTTGAACGTGTTATTCCATAACACTTTCTTGGGCTATCAGAAAAATGTCTGCAGTCGTTGGATTCGAACTCACGCTTTCATCACGCGGCTACCTGGTCTCCTGGAAAAAAAGAAAAATCGGGTCCGAGTCAATTGTTTTACCGGTGTCAAAGAAAAGGGTGGTGACCAGTTTTAGTTGGGACCATATACTCATTACCCAAAGAGATGCAAGATCCCATTCATGAAACCATATTTGTTTTACCCATATGAGGATCACAAGGAATACTAAACATAGAGGTCTGGCACTGACGAACCATTTCACACTATATATCATAAATAATAATTAATTGAAATTCCAAAAGAATGAACTACCCTTCAAAGGACAAACGATACTTTGGTGGCAACACCGCTGAATGGCTACGAGAAATCTCGAAGCTGCATAGTTTCGATATTCGCGATAGAAAACAACACGTCAACCCACTTGACGGCAGCTACTTGAACACTTCTGAGCGGTTTGTTTTGATGATATGACCAATTAGCACTAACAAAAAACAAATGTGAACCAATGAAAACAAAGTACACATGCCGCTTCGACAGCTTTCAAGAACTCCGATAGGTGTCGTACGCTTATTTTCTATCGCGAATACAAAGCCATTCATACCAGAAACGCGGTGTTGTCGGTTTTTGATAAGAAATCTCTACACCCAAGAACTCACCGCATATCTTAACGGCTCTACTTAGATAACGTTGGTTAATTAACGTAACTAAAGTGAAACGGAGTTTTTGTGATTATCGAATTTCAGTGACACTGTTAACAGAACACAGTTATGAAGGTTATAAATTGGGGAGATTCAATAATAATCGAAGACTGAATGCATCGTTTTTATCACAAGATAATATGCTATGAATCCAAACAATACCATTTAGATACCCTACAATTTCATGTACATTTTGAACATAGGTGGGACACAATGCCATAAGCCCTCTTACTGTAACGCCAACTGTTTTATTTAAGGCAAATATCAAGTAAATATTGCTTAATTTTCAAATCGATCCAACTGTAGTGTGGGAGATGATTTAATATTCATTGATTCGTTTTTCGTCAATCTAATTTAATTTTTTGACAACTGTCAACAGTTATTTCAAGCCATTCCTTATACGGAATGAAAAGTAGCAGAGTGATCCGGGTGGCGGAATCGGATAAATAAAACGCAACTAGAATAATGACACAATACAAAAAGTCAGTTATTTCCACAAATGGTCATGAAATGAACAACAATGGTAGATGACGTGAGGAAAATAACTACTCTCCTCGCTAATACCACGCAGAACATTGAATTACATCCTCCCGAAATCTATGCATCGATTCATATAAACAGCAAGTGTTGCTTTCCTTAACATTTCCTTCCACTCCAAGCATGTTGGCTATTTCACAAAAATTGATTCAGCATGCCAGTTTCCTTAACAAATCCAGACAAAGGTTACTTTACCTCCAATGTTGACGTTCCTCGCACGAATATATATGTATATACGTCCACGGTCTACGTCAATAATAAAATTCATGTTTTAGGACTCTCTTGGAACTGATAGATAAGGTAACAGTTGATGACCTCAATCGAGTAGGAGAGAAATATATAGCTCAGTTATTCGATTCGAATCAAGTGAAGACAGCTGTTGTTACGGATCCTTCAAAAATGGACGAGATTGCAGCTGGTTTGAAAAAGTAAATTGATAGTTATAAATTCACACAAAATATCAACTCTTTATTTATTGCAGATTGGATTTGGATTTGACGGTATACCCTTCCCTGGAAGAAAGTTTTTTGAACAAGATATAAAAGTTTCCCCACACACACATACACTGCTTATTGAATTGTAATTTGTGGCTGTTCACTCATAAAACCTACTTATTATGTCAAATATATATTTAACTAAACTTTAAATGACAATTTTATTATCGATAATATTTGTAAAATATCAAAGAGGGTACTAGAATCGACCCACCATTGATGTCATTATGGTATTTTTGTCTTTATGAACGCTTCACTCACGGTACTACCGATTCAATACATTCGATTGAATACATTTATATATTAGCTTGAAAAGGAAGAATGTTCATGAACTTCATGTTTATGGTATAATACTCCATAATCTCATCTAAGGAATCGAGAAATCCATGTTTCATCTAGAGAGAGAGAGAGAGATATGTTTTTCTCCATCGAATCTCAGAATAATTTTTATATCATCCAGTATGTACAGTCGTCTTCATAAAACATGTCGCACATGGACGATGATATCATTCTTGATAGTAGTAGTATTGTGGGGAGGCTGTAGCCAGGCAAGTAGGCCCCCATGGGCCCTTTTTGCCAACCCCTGCTCTCCACATTTCTACACATCCCTCTTTTAGTTGTCCTTTTCGAACCTTCCCGTCCTTCTGATGAAGGTCAGGATGTCCGTCCACTCTAATTCGACCGAATCTTCCTGTTGTAGTTTATCTACTCCAAAAATTTCGAATCTCATCCTTCCATACGCCCACTGGCGGACTAAGGGGGGGGGCGGTAGGGGCGGTCCGCCCCGGGCCCCACACCTATGGGGGCCCCGGTTTGGCATAGAAAAAATAATTACAACGCAGCACTTGACGCAGCACTAGAAGCATCTACGGAAAATGAACTTGAACAGGCCATAGAAGCACTCAACCTAGTCTATGGTGACTTTGTCAAGGAAGAAGTATGCAAAGAAGTATACAGATTGCGAAGACATGTGAGCGCAACTGGTACTGCAATGGAGGAAGCTGCTTCTTGGAATGCCAAAAAAATGTTTGAATTTATTATTAAATGGGACTTTACCGAATCCCTTCCCAACATATGTTTGATACTTCAGTATTTCCTAACAATTAGTGTATCAGTGGCGTCATGCGAAAGAAGTTTTTCAAAACTTAAATTAATCAAAAACTATCTAAGATCAACCATGACTCAAGAACGACTGGCTAGTCTGGCTATTTTGTCCATCGAAAGAAAAGCAGCTTCGGTTTTGGATTTTGATGACGTAATTAATAAATTTAGTGTATTGAAAGCCAGAAAACATAATTTGAAATTAGTATAGTTAATTTCAATTACTTGTATGTGTCTTTGTTTGTTTTTCACTTGTGTGTGTGTTTGTGTGTGTTTGCTGTTTGCAACTTTTTAAAAATATTGAATAAAACATTTGAGTTTCCATCTGCATTGCGTTTATTTCAATAAATATTCAAATCTGAGGGCGCCAGGGGGCCCAAAATTAAAGATCGCCCCGGGCCTCAAAAAGTCTTAGTCCGCCAGTGCATACGCCTCACACTCTCCGAGGAAGTGAAGTGACGCTCCTCATCTTCTCCACATTCACGGCAAGTGGGACTATCTTCCACACCTATGAGTGATATATAGGTATCTGCGTAACCTGTTGTGCCCTGTCAGTACCCCTATAAGAAGGCGCAGGACTTGGCGATCCCTGCCCAGTAACCAAGCAGTCTTTGGCTTGCTTGGACCGGCCACCAGGTCTCTCGATTGCCTGCAGCCGCCTATACGTCTCCAATATACTTCTAGTGCCTCGTCCGCCCATTTGTTAAGGGCAGACGAAGTTTGGCTTCTTGTTATGCCCAGTGCAGGCTCCGGCCCCCAGAACGGTGTCGCGGATCCGATTCTGGCCAGCTCGTCAGCCACCTCGTTCCCGGGCACCCCCCTGTGCCCCGGAACCCATACTAGTTCGACTTCCTTCTGTTCAGCTAGTTTCTCAAGAGCATCGCCACATTCCTGCACCAAAGCTGAGCTTGGTTTAGGATGGCAGATAGCCCTGAGAGCTGCCTGACTATCCGATCAGATGTAAATCTTCTGCTCTGGTCCCTCTTTCACGTCTTGCCTCTCCGCTACTGCCAGAATGGCAAAGAGCTCAGCCTGGAAAACTGTGGTATACTTTCCAAGAGCGTAGCTCTCCCTTATGCATATTCCTTCTAGGTAAATTCCTGCACCTGAGTCCTGTTTGTCAGTTAGGCGTGATCCGTCCGTATAACATAACTTAGACTCCCCGTGACATGATCCCTGAAGACGACTGTACATACTTCATATTGAGCTTTTGTATCCGCATACTCTCACATCATCCAGAACTCATTCACACAATGTGAATTGATGAAAAAACATTGAGAACATTTAATGTTATTCAATTATACGTTGATAAAGGGTCTGATTGAAAAAAAATGGAAATTGTTTCGAGAGGAGACATCAAGCTTCATGATTAAGGTCGAATAAAAAATCATAAGAAATATTTGCTCTAACAAGAACGAAACAACACTGATGCAATTTTACACTACTTCAATCATCGTCCTGTAGATCGTTCATCTGAAATATTTGTATAGTCAAGTATAGTATCATATTGCTCCGACAAGTAACTGAAAGATTGAGCTAGATAACTGTGAAAACCGGATAGAAATTAGTTATGGGATCCATGAGTAATTCGATTTTCAAATCGGAATATAATTTGGACCACGAAGTTTATTTTGTTGATCAGTTTAGAGTTTACAGTTTGCTTAGGTCTTAGGTATATGTTTTCCGGAATAGACTTCAAGAAACGTAGCATTCATCACATATCACAATTCTGACACCATGACTGAAAATAGTAATCTTGTATCAGAAAGGTGATGATAGGTATTTTTGTATATTTGGAACTAAATAGTTTGAGATCCAAGTCGGTTGATATCTTCAAAATTCTGTTTAAGGTGTTTTATATGTTTTTTTCAATTTTTGCTGCTATTTATATGATCGTAGTAGGCCCAAAAATATCGTTTGATGAACATGCTTTGCACGACAAGCAGATCTTTATCTTCATTTCTAGAGACGAGATCGATATTTTGACCTGTCATAATGACCATACAATTTTATAAAATTGAATTCATGGGTATATTATTTTTCTTGGAATAATAATTGTATGATAAAGTTTAAATCTATGCTGAATCAACAAAATTTACTCCAAAATTTTTACAATCAATGATCAGATATGTTATCAGTAGGTTGCACAAACCATTTATAAATGAGAACAATACGTTGAAAAATGTACTCAGCTGATACTGAAATCTAAAAACAATTAGGTACGATCCGATCCCAATTTTCTCGGAAAACTCCACTTGAGATTAACATCAAACAATCCTATAAAATGCTATTTGCAATTACGACAATATCCGTCTGTCGAACTGTGACTGATCCGTTTCGACTATTTTTTCTGAAGTTACAATTAACTAAGTATCAAAATGATGTTTGGTGTTTTATTATTTGGATTCTGTATACTTTATGCCAATAATGCAGCATCTGTACGGGAGAAAACTTTAGGTAAATATACGAGGATTTCATTTCGAAACTATAATAGGCGAGTTTTGAATTGAAATCCATATAAGTATTATTGTTCATTCATTTTGGGGCAAATCATCTGATTTGTCATTACTACAGATATCATATTGAAACAATACTAATATTTGAATATTAGTATAATCATATTATTAGGTATGTGATGAGAGTATATAATATGCCTACATGCGCTACGAAATTGTAGGATTTCTGGATAATATATTACTTTGATATAATTTGATGATATTGATGAGTTGAAAATATTCATCAGAATTCATAATGAAACTCATCATTTCACAAAAGTTGTAACGTTCATGGAAGTTCTGCCGGTTCACATAAAAGGGTAATCTCGAGTGAAATTTTCATATAAAAAAAACTTATTTTTTCTGTGACGGGAAAAAAGTTTGGCATTTCATCTCTGTTGGCAGGTTATAAAATGTCACTATTCATAAATTACTTCTTTCCCGTGGGAAAAAAGTGAGTACTTTTTTCCCGGATATATATCACATATACAGGGTGTAACTAAATAAGTGTAAAACATTCGAGGGGGTGATTCCTCATCGAAAAAAAGATAGGATCTTTCATATAAAGAAACTTCATTGGAGCATCTCATATCAAGATACAGCCCCTTGAAGGGGGTACATAAAATTTGTTTAACAATTTTTTTCACAAGCACTAAAGAAGTTACAGTATTGAAATTTTTCTGACATTTTTTACTACCCAAAAGACACTTAGCCAGTAATTTATTTGGTTTATCCCATGGTTGTAAGGGGTGGAAAACGCAACCCCTAGATTTTATTTCCAATGTAACTTTTTGTCTCATCATTTGTTTACCATTTAAAAATTTATTTCCGATAGCCTGTTTCATTCTAAACAAAAGATGCCACTTGAATTTTTTGCCCAAAATGAACCAGTTCGCAGCAAAAAATCGCCATAAAACGAAAATACGAAACCAATTTAGTAGGCCGCTATTAGCGATAGTGACAATTAAATTGGCATCAAGCTGTCAGTTGGTGAGTTTTTAAACTTGAAGTAATACTAATTGTGTATTGTTGTTCTGTTCTTAATTTGTGAAAAAAATTGTTAAACAAATTCTATGTACCCCCCCAAGGAGCGGTATCTTAACATGGGATGCTTCAATGAAGTTTCTTCATATGAAAGATCGTATCTTTTTTCCGATAAGGAATCGCCCCCTTAAATGTTTTACACTTATTTAGTTACACCCTGTATATAAACTGTTGATGGCTTTTGTTGTGCTATAGTTCCGAAAAATGAGTCAATAATACCGTCTCCGAGAAAGAACTGCAAGTCCTTTTATCTTCCATTCGACTTCGCGGTTACGTATATTACTAAACAACCACTAAATTCGCATTTTTTTTAAATCAAAGCGCAGAATTAGACTGACAGAAGTGACATCAGACATTTGATTACTTCAAAAGAATGATAAAGATGCCTACAACGGAGGTGTCCCTACTGTTAAAAACTTGAAATTTCACGTCGATAATTTTCAGATTTCAAAATAATGTTATATCTTCTCAATATTGATTCGTCTTTTCTTCTATCACAGAAA